ACATCTTCTTCCATTTCCTCCCACTTTAACCAAACCTTCTACCATTGCAACAATCTGTATTCCATGATGAAAAGTTTGACCCAATAATTAACATTTTACATGCTCTTTGGCTCGGTGTGTGAAGGAATTCTTACCTTTTTTGTTTGTTTGTTAATCCTCACCTGAGGACATTTTTCCATTGATTTTAAGAGAGAGTGGGAGGAATAGAGAGACAGACAGAGAAACACCGATGTGGGAGAAACACATCAATTGAGCCTGCACCTGAGGTACATGTCCTTGACCGGAATCAAACCTGCAATCCTTCAATCTGCAGGCCAACGCTCCATCCACTGAGTCAAACCAGCTATAGTAGAATTTCCACATTTTGATTCCTCTATGTAAAAGAAGAGGCCATACACTTACATTTCCTGCCTTCCCAAAAGCAAAGCTCAAACTAACCTAGGCTCCACAAGACAGGCGCATCTGGATGACAATGTGGTTTGAAGGAGAGGGAGGGAAGAAAGCATCACACCAAATTCACCACAAGTGACATGCAGTGTCCCAAGGGGTCAGTGGAGGACATGTTGCCGAGGAGATGTTGCCTCATGTCCAGCATCAAAACCAAAAAACTGTGGTTTCCATGGCTACCAAGGTCTCAAGGGGGACAGCCCAGGAGGGCCATTAAGATACTTTCTGTCTCTATGGCCTCCAGTCATTATTTTCTGACTTTCCAGAGATTATTCTACAGTGCTTTGACAGACATATAAAGAAAGGGCTTTAGGAAAGGCAAGAGTGAAAGCAGTGAGGTACCAGCTAGGAAGCTCCTGTATTAGCATAACCAAGGCAAGAGATTAACCTGGGCTAAGGTGGTAGCAATAAAGCTCACCAACGGGCCTATGCTTGGACACTCGTAGTAATGCTGACTACTGAGAATATGGAAACAAAGGCCCATTCCATTCTTGGAAAGCCTAGATAGTTGGAAAATTCTTCTTTAAGTACTTTGACAATTCCTATCAAGATTGTAGAAAATATCCACATTCCTTGGTTAAGAAATCCTACTCTAAACAATTTATCTCAACCTTCTGGTCCTCTTAAAGAAACATTTTAACCAAAAAAAAGAAAAAAGTAAACGTGCGGAGCTATTTGTTGTGGCGTTAATTTTGAGGGTAAATAAAGCCTTAAATCTGGTCATAGAGAGATGATTTCTTAAAATACGGTCTGTAATTCAGTGGATTTGTACGCAGCCATTAAAAAATTAAAGTATGAAGAAACAATTCATCATAGAAAACGTTTGTGTAGGACATAAAGCAAATAAAGATCACCGTAAAAGGTCGGTCAGCTTGTACCTGCTTTGTTAAAGTAGGTCCGAATGTGAGCAAGGTTTGGAAAGGAACATGGGGAAGTAATTACTGTATTAAAAGGGTTGAGCGTGTTGTTTTTTTAATTTTCCATGAATTTTACAGGCTCCTGGTTTCATATTTTGGCTTCTGAGAGATTTCATGTTCCCTCGAGGGTGGTGCCAGACCAAGGAAGTCAAATTGCTCTCTGGTAAGTAAAACATAAACTTCCCCAATAAATTCCACCATAACCCTAAATGAATCAGAGGAAATTGCTCTTCTTGGGCATCATAAGTCTTCCTGCAGAGCCCAAGGCCAAGGATGAGAAGGTACAAATATAAATCTGGAGACAAATCTTGAGGCCCATGTGTCATTTTAATGTATTGGAGCAAAGAATATACTCTTCCGGCACTTGTTTCTCTTCCCTTTTGTAATTCCTGCTTCTTAGTGGAGCAAAAAACAAAAAAACAAACAACACACCAGAAAAAGCAGCTCACTAGATAACCCCCCACATTCCTTTCCGGTGCATGAATAGCTCTAACATGGCATAAGTAGAATCTCAAAGAGAAGTCAGTGGGGTCCTGTTGAATGTCTTCCCCATGAAAATCTAAGCGTGAGATTTCCTGGGAACAACCAGCACCGCTACTGTAAAAATGACAGAAAACAGACAGAAGCCTACAACCTGAGGTAAGAGCACACGACACGGGCTGTTTTCAAACAGAATTGGGATGTTCCTGCAATAAAATCAAGAAGGGACGTGGTGAGACTTATTGTTATCACAACGGCTTTCCCAAACCCATTGCCTATTATACTGAAGTTCAGGATTCAGAAAATGTCTGGAAAGAATGCCTGTGGTCTTGAATTTCAGGCAGAGACAGTTGAGCACAATTACAAAAGTAGTTGGCATACCCTGCGATGAAAATAACTGCTTTTTTTTCTAACAATGGGAATTGGGATGCAGGAACTGATGAAGGGAGCATCCTGAATACCTTTGTCATTACAGAGGAGCAGGTGACAGGAAGCAGATTGGAGGGGGCTCTTGAGTTGGGAGCCATTCTGTAGGTAGTTTTCTGTTTGCCTGGCTTCAGTGTAAGCTAAAAGCATCCACTGTACATACAACCTAGTGTCATAGAACCAGGGCAAGCCATGCTTTCCTGGATAAATGCTATGGTCCCTCCTCACATGTAGAGGAGACTAGTCTACAAAAGTTTTAAAAAACAACAACTTAATAACACAATTGTCTGACAAGCACATGGATGGTGGGAGGGTTAATTTTATACATGCTTTCTGAAGAACTGCTTGGAAATATTTATTTAATATAAAAATGTACACTCAGCAATTCCACTCTGAAATGTATCCTGCAGGTATTCTTGCACTTGAAAATATGATATCCATATACTGCAGAATTATTTGTAGTAGCAAAAGTTAGGCAGCAACCTAAATTTCCACCCATAGAGAATTTGTTAAATAAATTATGATGTAGTTAATAGCAATGAAATAATATACAGTCAACAAACAAATGAGAAGGTGCTCTATGTACAAATATGGAATAAATCTTCAAGATATATTGTTATATAATAAAAGCAATATATAATGTATATACAGTAAGACAGTATGAATCCATCTATGTGTGTTTGTGTGTGTGAATATGCATTTGAAAACTCAGAGACTATCCCAGGAGGCATACACAAGAAACTAGCAACAGAATTTATCTCTGGAAAGGGGACGGGAAATGGGTGTCTGGGGAACAGAAATAGGAAAAAGGAGCTTTCTGTCCCATCCCACCCCCTGCCCCCATTCTGCTAAATTTTGTATTATTTGGTCCAAAAAATTGATGTCTTAAACTATTGCCTCAGGAAATTGGGACTAGACTAGGGACAGGGGAATGGGAGGTTTCATTTTTTTTATTGTAAGCTTACTTCTGTATCATTTGACTTAATGTATGTTATTTTTATCTTGGTTTAAAAATTAACCATAAAAATAATTTTAAATACTCTGTTCTATTTAAAACACTCTATCCCACTATGCAGTTGTTTGTGCCAATTTTTAAGAGTAGAAAATATGTCACTGGAGCTATAATAGTGACAAAATATTCAGGATATTATGGGAACAAAAAGAGAGATCAATTAATTCTGCAGTCGGGTGGATGGTTACCAGGAGACGCAGGGATGGAAGGCTCAGGTTAAATGGGCCCATAAAGAATGCTAAATTCACCAGACAGATACCTGCACAAAAGCTTTGTAGGTGTGGGAAAAGCATGGAGATGCACAGAACATGTCATTTGGGGGAGCCACAAGCGATCTGGTGGGTGTGAGGGTAGGAATGGCATGAAAGGAATGGCTACACATCAGCTGGAAAGGGGAAAACAGGAGTTGGAAGGAATATCACCAAGGGCCTTGAATGCCATACTAAGGAATATTGACCTTGTTTAATACATCAGTGGATCCTAAACCTAAATGGTTATCAGAATTACCTGGGGGATCTTTGTAAAAATACCAATTCCATGCCCTTCCAGCATACCAATTATATCTGACTTCCTGATGGATAGAGCTGGGAATCTGTAATTTAAAACTAAAATCCTCCTGCCTCAGCCATAGACATAGGGGAATCATTAGAATTCCACTTACAAGCACCATTCTGTGTGCAAGGAGAAAGAAATGGAGCCAAACGTCCCACTAGGAGGTGATTAAGAATTAATCATATGTACAGTCTCACTTCTTGTACCTGTCGGGCTGAAAATGAAGAGCTCTGTCCAGGTTCTTAAAATTCTGAACTCATTCTCGCCTGGGCTGTGCCGAAGATGGGACAGGAATGGAATTGGAGAGAAAATAAGAGAAGAAGAAGAGCTACTGTTTAATCTGCTACCTTTTCCCCCTGCTCCTCCCTCCAAGCATCCTCATTATGTTCGTGCTGTGAATACCTGGCCAGGAAGAACATGAAAGATGCCAGGACAATCAAGCACATGTACTAAGGTTTTCCTTAGAAGCAAGAACTCTTTTCCTGTCTTTTGTTAAAACAGCAATAACCGTCACCCATAACCAGTCCATATCCTGGGCAGCAAATTTTATGTGACCTTTAGGACAACATTCAGTTGCTGTCATCAGGTCCCAGGCTGATGTTAAGGACACGAATGATGCTTGCCAGAAACTGGTGCTCATGGATTCCTCCAGAACCCTCCTCCCACTAGAAGTTTTGCTTCATTGATTTAACACATACCTGTTGAGCACAGAGATATGAAGATGCATTAGACACGGGTCCTGTCCTCAACGATGTCACCTTCCCTATTGATGAATAGATCTATGATTTCTTCATCCTGCTCAGTATTATGTCAGAAGAGTCACCACAAAGTGATAACAACCCAAAAGGCAGGTCTTCAGTAGAACAATCCCGGCTAATTTCATTAAACAGAGAATATTACATTTGAAAAGAACCTTCAGTATCATTTTGTCCGAACACCTCAATCTATAGATGACACAACAAAGATGCAGAACAATAAATACATGATTTGTTCCCAATTACACGGGAGGCAGAGGGCAAAAGTCAAGCTGAGTTCAGAAGCCCTGACTTAACACTCTGACTCTTGTAGGCTGGGTAAATGCAATTTCAATCCCAATGTCTTCACTAATCTGCCTGAATAGAATATGAGTGGGGCTAGGCATTAGATTCACTTTATCTCTTGAGGGAGGTGAGGCAATTTGAGAACTTTAAAGTTACTGGGATAGGATATACTGACACATAGGAGAGAGATTATGACTTCACATGCCAATGTCAATGATGAATGATAAATAATACAGGTAAAGTCCCAGACTTTTTACTTGAATATTGCCAATTATCAATAGTGAATGTGGTTAAATGTGCTTATTCTCATCTGTGCCAGCTCCAAACCTATAGTCTACCCGTATTCCTTTATCCCATTCCCTCTCCACTACATTGTAATGAGACCTTAGAATCATTCCCCCACGCAACTCTAGACAATGACTGTCAATCCATCTAAGATGACATGTGAGTGCAAAGATTTTGCTCATTTGCCTTCCTACATCAAAACCTAAAATAGAATGGCTTAAAGGATAGAATAGAAAGGAAAAAGCAAGAGGAGTGTTCTATTGGGTAACACAAAAATGACTGGAGGTAAGACTACCCAGAATCAATTCAATATGATTCACTAAATGTTTACTGGGTGACAGCACTACATGGGATAAGGGGTATATTGACATGATTCAACACAGTACCCATCTTCAAATGTTGCCACACCAGAGTAGGAAAGATTTCTATAAACAGAAAATTTTTAAACAATATAGTAGTTATTGTAACTGAATAAGCTCCATGCCTTTGGATAGGGATCATGACTATATTTTTCACTGTTGTTTACACAGCACCCAACATCATACCTGGCATTGACTAAGAACTCAGTGATATCTGTAAAATGGTTGAGGCAGAGATCAGAATACTTATTTTTCTGAAATAAATGGGCAAAATCCTTAAGGAAAAAAATCAGCTTTCCCTGAATCTTGCAAAATCAATAAAAGTTTTCCAGATGAAGAGGCATGCATAAAAAGAACTCTTATTGATAACTTTCCTCCAATATTATGATGAAAAACAAAATCAGCCATTTGTCCTTCCTTTGTTCATAGATAAGATACCAATCATCCATGTCCCAAATGATTTAGGAGTGCTGAAGGCATATATACCGGTAATAAAGTGAAAGGTATAACTATGTTTTCATCAAAGCTATTGTAATCCATCTTTATTTGTGGTAGACACCTTAGAAACGCCCCCAGATCAACAGTGCTCCACGATTTCACCTGGGTACATGCTCAAAGAGTGATCTTTTATCTGGCTTCTTTGTGGAGTACTAATTAAAATCAATTAAGGTGACATATCCTTCACTGGCTGGGTTTTCCCAGTGCATAACAAAGAGACAGAAGAAAAGACTTAAAGGGTAATAACATGTTACTTGTTTTTACTCCAGAAATCGCAGATGTCTGTTTCTAATGGATGAACAACTGAAATTTCAAAGCACTTATTTCAAGCATCACTAAGTGCCTTCCATCAAGCTGTAGCGTTCGAGATCTGATTAGCATGATCTCCTCTATAGTTGTGCTTGAGAGAATTCATTCCTGGTGGTTTTCATGAAGAATGTCTTCACTCTTCCTTATCTTTGAACTTTGATAAGCTTTTGATAGCCCTGCCCCCATCTTTTGCACTAAATGACAGACTCTTTTGTGTGGTGTATTAAGCTTGTGTGCTAACTTGTGTGTCTACAGAGAGACTGTAGGTCCAAGGCAAAGATATCAGGCCTCCTGTTTCCTTTATGTCACACATGAAAGGAAGGAAAGAGGACAAAGAGAATAAAGGAGAGGAGAAAGGAAGGGAGGAAACACAAGGAGAAAGAGTAAGAAGGAAAGAATGAGGCATGCACTGTTGTAGGTGGCAGGAATGGCTCCATGTGTCTGACTGGTGGAGAGGTTGGGGGGGCTGGGGCAGACCAAACCTGGGTTCAGCAACCTCAGTACTTGGGTTCTGGCTAGGGAAGAATTCAGAGCAAGATGCAAACTGTGAGAGAACATTTATTGGGTAGATTACAGAGGTAGAAGCAGTAATTCCTAGAGGAAATGGGCTTAGGAAACAAGGAGGTAAAGGAAGGGCCCTTGGAGCTTGGGGGTGGGGAAGCTAATGGTAACGTGCCTGGGGGTGGGGGAGGGGAAAAGGAAAGAGGAAGGAATGGGGGTACTCCCTGGAGGGAGAGGGGAGAGCACACTGGGTCCTCCATCCTAAGGATTTTAAGGGCAGAGATTTCAGGGGAGGTTCCCGGGAAAGATCTTAATAGAATATTCAGCAGTTTTTCAGGTGTGCCCCTTCAGGGTCTGGGTCTCCACTGATTGTTTGACAGGCAAGGGGTCCACGAAGCTGGTCCTAAGGTCAGCCCTCGCTGGTTTGTTGCTTATCTGGACCTGGAGCTGAGCTACAACTGAGGCCTAAATGTTCTCACTCGGGAGGAAAGGCCAGGGGGTCCGAGCCTCTTGTGGGCTTCTTCGGAAGGAAGCTGCCCTGTGAAGGCCCCTTCTCCGGGGACAGCCATGGGCCGCCACATGTATCACATCAGACTCTGACTCTCCCCCATCCCTGCGGCCGAGGGGCTGAGTGGGGTTTCAGCATCTGAGGCAGGGCTATATCCTGTGTGAAAAGATTGAGCCGTTCAGATTATTTTCATTATTTGCCCTCGAAAATAACTGAGAGAGTTAAGTGTGAGACATAAAAAATAAAATTAAAAAATGAGGAAATTCCCTGTCAAGCCACAGAGTAGAATGTATTCACAATACATGTCATCCAAAAGGACTTACATATGGAACACACACACACACACACACACACACACACACAGGCTGGGACAAACGTAGTTTATAGTTGTTTGTATGGAAAATAATACAATAATTCATACATAATAATACAAGAATAAGCCCTGTGTTTCACAACTGTAACTACTTTTGCCCTGCCCTGTATAGGAGAAAAAAATCAGACAACATGATAGTCAAAAGATTTGCGTAGCTACTTCCCATAAGAATATATTCTACATAGAGTGGCCATAGACTGTATTGTCCAAACTGGGACTACATTTGAGGGTGAAAGGGGGCCCTCCTCAGAATTATCCCAGAACAACAGGAGTGAGCCAGGCTGACCTGACCTGAGACCTACCTTAGTATGGTAATGGCTTTTGTCATAAAAGCAAAAATCCTCTTTGGATTTCTTTTGATTAGTGAAAACCAGTACTAATGTAGGTCTTTTGTAAAAGCCAGTGGCATAAGTTTCAGAAAGTGGGGGACACCTGCATTGACCTTCTGATGATGTTTCAGAAGGAGGATCAAAACTGGCAGGAATTTCTTTTTCCTTCTTCACAATTTCATGTGTAGAAAATTTGTTCTCACTCTAGATCTTAGCCACCTCAGCATATTGTTCTTCTTTCTTTATAAGTCAAGATCTTTCATCTTTTCATTTTAAAGGAAGCACCTTGTGGCTTCTCTTGGGCATACCTGAATCGCCAGCATCACTGTTCTTGCACTTTAGGTCCATCATTAAGTAAAATCGGGGTGACTTGAACACAAGCACCGTGACACTGTGACAGCTGATCTGATAACAATGACAGCTACTGTGTGACTCAGCGGCAGTGAGCGTCTACAGTGTGGCAAAGGGATGATTCCCATTCCAGGCAGGATGGAGCGGGACTCACAAGATTTCATCATGTTACTCAGAGCAGTGTTCAATTTAAAACTTATAGATGGTTTATTTCTGGAATTTTCATTTAATATTTTTGGATCTTTCTTAATGACAGAAAGCAAAACCACGGATAAGGAGGACTATTATAGTCAGTTATTTCATAGAAAGAACTACCAGGCTGAGCCGTGCAGAATGTCCTCCAGTTTACTGAGAGACAATGAAGGACATTCCAGGTGAAGAGAGCACGTGGGGAAAATTGGGGGCATGTAAGTGAGTGCATAATTTGTTCACTGTTCTCTTTTGCAACCCAGTCAATTAAAAGTGGGAAAAATGTGGGTGACCAACAGACCGTGAAGTAAATACCTACTGGTCTCCAGAATCAGCTGATCAATTCTGTCCACATGAAGTGAAAAGGGATGGAGAATTATCCAGATGCTGCATGCCACGAGATAAACAAAAGTAGCTGAGGATTAAGTATCCCAGTTTACTGATCTTCCCAGATGGACTTCGGATTGAGTTTCATAGCCCCCTAGGGTATGTCCCTCTGGATTGAGTTTCATAGCGCCCTAGGGTATGTCCCAGAGGGACCGCCACAGAAGCCACCCGGAGTGAGATCAGGGAGGAAAGCAATGTCCCAGGGTCTCCAACCCTGATGTAACCAGAACTGCTCCTCTTGTATCTGTTTCCTGAATTAGCGTTTTCTGTTTAAGATTTTTCTGAGAAAGTCATTTTCCACATGACAGGGCAGTTATTCTACTTTTTAAAAAATAAAGTGTTTAAACGACTGATCTATAAAGGGCAAATTCACAGAATAACCATACAGCCATTTGTTGCACTCTGTGGAGACACAATTTAATCACTGTTAAGTAAAAAGAAAAATCGATTGATTTTTATTCCTTTGAAATTATAAGCTACCTGACATTCTAGTCTATAGGTAACACCTACTTCTGATTTTTAAGAGAAGGAAGACGTCTGTCACATGGTCTCAGAGATGAAGGAGCTTGTCCAGGCGCTAACCTTGCTTACCTCTCCTCACTCTCACATCCTGTACTGAGGGGCAGAGCGGGGTGTATACTTTGCTCTGGGAACCATGAGCCCCTTCAAACCTGTCTCTGGGTTGCCATGCTGTTTTGGTGCCTGGGTGTGAGGAAAAAAACAAGATCTCATACTCCGCTCTCAGATTTCCCCATTTAGTCTCAGTTCGTGACTTTATTTGCATGTATTTACATTCTTTATTTCATTTATAAAATAAGTCGAGAGATTTTATAGGCCCACTTAATGTGCTAGCATGCAGGATGCCCAGCCATTTCTAGATAGTTTATATATTCAAGTGATTCATTTCCTCTGTTCTGTCCTTCAACTCTCCTAGGGTCACAGTTCTTCTAGCAAATGGAATTTTATAGTTTTTAGCAAAGCAATTTCATAAGTTCCTGAAGCAATAGATGTATGTGTGTATATGTAATTAAAATTGAACAGATACATATATATGTGTTTGTATACAAATGTGATTTTACACATTACATATTCTATATTAGATATATGTATAATTTGACTATATCACCTGTAAATAAAAGACAGCAATCATCAATTCCCCCCCCCGCCCCCTTACTTACTAGTTGTAAGACCTTAGATTCCTGGACTGTAAAGTAGGAGTAAGTGTTATATAAATCATATTGACAGAGTTTGTATAAAGATGCATCGTATTTGTATGATAGGATAGCATGCTATAATTGATCTTCATTTCCTGCCATTGTTCTTCCATGGCTTTGACCATGAACTGAGAAAATTAATTTTAATTAACTGTCGTTGGAACTGTTATATCCAGGTGAGCACTGTTTTTCCACGTGACTACCCTGGGAACCAGAAATTTATTTCAGTTGTCTTTGTTTGTGCAACAAAAAGTTTTTGGCTACCACTATCTGGTATAGAATGAGTGAAAAATAGGGTATGGTGTATTCCTAAATGCTGGGGTCCAACCCCAGCAGGTCCAGGGGTCCCCAAAGGTGTGGATGGAGTCGGCGAAGAAGGAATGACACGGAGACAGCGTTCAGTTGATCAGCAGCCTTGCCAGGATCTCTCGCCACAATCTCCAGCCAAGTTCTGTGTCCATGTTCTCTTGCTAGGTTCTCCAGACAGGTTCGGTCACCAGGTTCTGTCTATGTTCTCTCCAGCGAACTTCTTCTGTCTAAAGTGATTAATTACCCACCTAGCAGTTAAGAGGTTTTATTCCCTCCCTAACTTCAGGGGAAAATCCCTACCTGGGGAAACAACCTTTCTCAGAGAGGTGACCTTGGTTAAAACACATAGTGCCAAGAAGGTGACCAAACATATTAAGAACAGTATGCCATATATTCCAGGTCCCTTGAAAGAGCAAGGATGGACCGGCTCCCAGCACCTAAAGTACCTGGAGAGGAATGTAGTATAGGACAAAGGCATCAGTTCTCCAGCCATAATTGCCAGAGTCTGAATCCTGGTTTAGCCATTTGCTAGCTGTGTGGCCTTGGGCAAGTTATTTCACCTCTCTGAAATAACTCTCACCTCTTTTGCTGTCAAATTAAGGTAATAATAGAAACTATTATTGTGAGAGTTTATGAGTTTAAACCACTGGGCCTGGCACATAATACACATTACACAAATAATAGCTCTTAGTAATATCCCCTTGAGAAGGTGATATTGAGACATGTGCTAAACATGAGGGATGGATAAATGAGTGGCCTGTATTCCACTCCAGACACTATTCCATCCTTACACTCAGTTATTACCAGTGGGCAAGCTAACCATCTGTTTTTCTCTCTCTGCTCATTTCAGCTCATCTACGGCAGTGCCATGAACATGACCCCACAAAAAAGCAGTCAACATAAAGGTACTTTTTAAGTGATAATTTAAGTGTATGAAAACAGCTAGTTTTCAAACATCGCTGATAGGCATATAAACTGATGGAGGAAGTGCTCTTCTCTGAACTTATCCCATAAAATAGTCATAAATATAAACCAGAATTTACATAAAGGACACTCACCTTCTCTACGGGGAATAGAGCTTGGGTCCTGC